GATGGGAATCGGGAGCCAACATTGGGATGGGTGGATTGACATCAGCATAGCAAATTGAAACCAACCCGAGGTGAGATGATTGACAGAAGTCCCTGGTGGAATGACCATCCAGTAGCTCCCCAGCTCGAAGCAGGCTTCCAAGCGCGGGGATGGACGGGTGGAATGCCCCGTTCTTCGGAACCAGCTTCTGTCGTGTCAGCGACATGCAAGCCCGTACTGGATTCTTGTGGAAACGAGTGCTGGTTTGCTTGTGCAACTTGAACTGGGATTCTGGCATATTCTGGCCAGATCTCCATCTTCAGACACTGCCCCTCAAACAATCAATCAGAGAATCACCACAAGCCCAGACCTTCCTCCCGACCAGCCGAGTGCCACGCAGGTGCTGCAATTTGGGCACAAAGCCACCAGGAGCTCTTCCTGGTGCTGCGGCTTCCACGACGGCCCAAGGCACGGCATCCAAGCTGAGGTTGACCAAGCAGTTGAGAGAGTCCGGTGAGGCTGTGGTGATGATTCGATTATTTTCGATGTAGAAGGTTGGGAGGGTTCATGGAGGTCGGAATTTGGAGTTGTGGTCACCAGAGGGCAAGAGGGAAACACCATTGGGGGGTCCTGATTGTTGGGGATCTCCAAGATTTTCAAATCGATCCGATTCTCGACAACTGTATGAGCTCATCCACTTTGCAGAACAGCCCCCTAGTTTTAGATACTCGCAATGACGGGTGCATGCCTACGCCTTTGCATGTTATGTCAGAGTCACAGAGTGTATCCAAAAGTTACCACCGGCCAACACGCTACAGACTATAGATGATGACAGATGACCCAATCCATCACTGCTCGTCTTTCCGCGGGAGCCCGTCACGTTGCTTGGAGCCCGAAAGACGCCCGTCACCGTGGTCTTTCGGTGGGAAGCCACCGTGGCTTGACCCCGATCCTTCGACGGCAGCGCAGGTGTCTGAGCTGAGGATTGAGATTTCGCTCCTGGGCTGATGGTGCCAGAGAGGGACTGTTCGTCCGATGTTGATAGATGTTGATAGACCGTACACTGGCGCAAGATGGTCAAAGATGAGATAGATCAACGATGATCAACGGTATTTTACGCAGTACAGAAATGTGTATTAATATATAAATTGCCAACACTTCAAGATATTTCAAGTTCTATTGGGCCTAGGTCAAGACGTGCAAGAGAGTGAATCGATCACTCACTCTCTTCGAAATCACTTCGGTGCCAAATGTTGGGCTGGAGCACATGGAGCGATGCACATGGAGTGCTGCCTGCCATGTGGTGCCTCATCAGGCCACGTCATTTGCTGGGCTTCCTGCGGAAGCCAGGGATGACATCCGTGACTGAGGCTGGGGTTTATCTCGAAGAGTCCAGCATCTCCGATGCTTGCAATCAGTGTCCTGTTTACTTCTTTTGCGTGAAGGTGAGCAGGCTTGAAAGGGGAAGACATAGAGCTCTAAGAGCTTCAGCTCAGCAGTTGTATCTGGTTCAAAGAGGTTCTTAGAAGTTTCCACTCGAAAGAGCTCTTCCATGATGCGGCAAGGCAGCTAAAGGGATCTGGATTGGAACCAAGACTATCCGTTTGACTCATTGGATCGATTTTTAGTTAGGACGACTTTGATCTTCTCATCAATGCGGAGCTCCTGGTCGCTGCTAGGGCGCCGAATCTGTGCATGGGGTCCAGAATTGATGGCTATGAAACTAAATTACTTCAGGCTCCAAATCCAGCTGGTGAATAAACAGTCATTGAGAACTGTGAGTGAGTTTGTCATATTTGCCGTTTAGGACACAGGTGCCACAGCAATAGCTGAAGCGGTGCCGCACCAGTGACTAGTGATGAGGATCGAAGAAAACTGAGGGTATATATCCTCATTGGCCGCCTTGCGCAGTCATCACTGTCACCATAGAATCAGAAGTTTAGATATATATATATACCGGTACCAGTATATACTTAAACATTACTCTAATTGTTTAAGCTTGGGTTTGTCCTATCAATTACATGTAAGAGTCGATAGACGATCATCACTAGTTAGTTTAGACTAAAGGCCTGCAACTGGACCGTCATCATCCACTGAAACCAAGTTTAAGCAATCTAAAGAAACAGGATCGGACATATTGAAGAAATCATGTTGCTTCTAGAACAATCTTTGAGAAAGGAACAGCCCATGCAGACGGATCATGCAAAGGAAATTCTCTTTGCTCACGCAGATGCAAATTGTACTCCGAAATCTCATCAGAAAATCTTCCCAGATTACTGCAGCGTGGTCATGGGTGAATATTTGAGGTTAAACCTTCAGAATGCAGCTGGCAGCTGGAGCAGGCTTAGTGAAAGCCGCTGTCAGTCTTTGTCTGGTTTGATTGTCTCACTGTGTGTGGTTATGCTTTGGCTGTTCTCTTCAGCATCCAACCCGAATCGGATCTACTCTTCATCACCTGGCCACCACACTCTGGCTCAGTTCACGTCCGCTCCGCGCAGAACGTCCTCGCTCCGAACCGCGCAGCGGAGGTGGCAGATGCCACGGACTTGCATGTCACTTTGCACAAGGAGGTGGCCCAGATGGTGCTGGAGGTGGAGCGGAGCGATGCGGAGCGCGAGGTGAAAGCGTGAAAGCGTTTGCGTGCTTCAGGAGCGGGGAGCGCGATAGCTCATGCTAGCTTCGAAACCGCCGTTTGGAGTGGTGGTGAGAAGGGTCCAAAAGCTGGAGAGTTGCACCTTTAAGTCCCTTCTGGTTGGAACCGGGCTGAACCAGGGATTGGATCTATACATATCTATACTATACTACACGCCTTTGAGGTTCCAAAAAGGACCTCCTCAAACGGCCAGACATTGTTTCTTATTGGTCCCCATTGTTTCCACAAGAACCCCCCCAAATCCATCCGAACTCCCACTGAGAAGCTGTTTCTGGTCTCAAGTCGCCAAGGCCCTCCGACCGCCGGCGACGTCGTCACATGTCTTCCCGTCCGGCGACGTCACCGACACGGCCAGGGCTTCAAGTGATAGCGACCGTCGCTGTCAGAGACGCAGGCGGTCAGCGACGCCGTCAGCGACGCCGATGGAGAGATGTGGGCCGCGAAACGGACGGTCGATTGACCAGTGGCTGTTTCGAGTGAGATCAGAGGGGTGTCTCTGTTTTACCTTTTATTGTGAAGCTGTGGGGACTTGGGAATGATAGTAAGGGCCCAGGAATGATGCATATTCGGGCCCCGAGCCCCGATGCAGTAGAGGCACAAACCAGTATAAAGCATCCCAAATTCAAATTGACTTCATGTGCAAATCAGGAATCTGGACAACTATTGTCTGCAGAAAAAGACGCAATAAGTTATTGTCTCACTTGGTTGAAGCTGATTGTCTTTGCGATCCACCTTGTGAGGCACACAATTTCCAAGTCCTCCACACCTGAGGCGACCAGGAGCGGCCAGGAGCCCAGAGTCAGAGGTCGTTCGACAGAAATGCTTTCAACTTGCTTTTACTCTAGCATTTCATGACTGGAACAGGAGATCTGACACAGAAAATCCCAAAGAAGAGGGGCTTGTGCTTGTTCCAGTCTTAAGAAGAACGGAATACATCAATCTTGGCCACACGACGCCATCAATTCGCTACACTACCCCACTGGTCACTGGTTGCAGATTTCCCAGATGTTTTTGAAGCGCTTGATGCCCGGCGCACATGCATGACTTCTGCAGTTCGGGCCAGGACGAAGCAACCGGACCCCAGCTTCCCCGGCACCAGGAAGTACACTGCTGTGGGTTTGGCTGCGTGAGTTTGTGAGACCATGCCCAGTACGCCAGCAGCAGAAGCACATACTGTTTGCTGATTAAGACGTTCGAATGCTGTGGGCATGTGATCACGTATTGCACCGATGTGTTCATGTGTGTGTGTGTGTGATGTGCATCGGCAGGCTTGTAGCCACGAGGTCAGAACTGCATCCGTCTTGCGAAGGTAGCATGAGGACGCTACTAGGAGCAAAGGGCATCGCTACTAGGAGCAAGGACGCTACTATAAGGGCTCCTGGCCTTACTACTAGAAACAAGGTCGCGGAGCTACAAGCCTGAACCGTGGCGTTGGCCGCAGGTCTCATGAGGTGACTTCAAATTGAGTCTACCAGGCTTGGAGGACTGGCCACCCATCAAGGCTGCAGTTGGAGGGTCATCGAGTCATCAGGTACTAGATCCACTCAACAGTCTCAATTTCTAGCATGGTGAAGCAATGTGAAGCAGTGTTGTTCAACCTTGTACCTGCTCCCTGTCTGGCTTGCAGAAGTCTAATTCCCTTCTTACCTGGGTGCAGCCTCGTGGCCTGGTAGAGATTGATTCCATATGATTTCGCGGATTTCGTTGGTTCCAAATATGCAAGATACTACGTATTGTAATGACCAACAGCACCTTCTTAGTTTGCCAAGAGCGGGATCCTGTTGGCATTGTGCTATGAAATGCAGCTTTGTCGCCTCTCCGTTTGTGGAGCCCATTGCAATGAATCATCGCGATCATAAACACTTATATAACACTAGGGAGTACACCATAATTGCTGTTTGTTCAAGGTTTGCACATCAGCAGACGGGGAAGTAACATGAAGGAACCTAGAGGCTTGCTCAAGGCAGTGTGCCAATGCTTTCAGTCTTGTCCTTTCCATGCCGATACCTCCACCCTTTTTCCCTTTCAAGGACGGAGCACCGCCGGAGACTGCCGGTCTGGACGCCGATCTGCACCGATTCTGTCGTGCGGCAAAAAGAGGGCGCCCGACGAGTCTGGTGGGTCAACCACCGACTTTTGGCAGATGAGAACAGCGTCCACTCCGATCCGAAGCAAACGGCATCTCAACGTTTGAACACGTTCATGTCCGCAGCGGTTCTTGCAGCGGTTCCACGTGCAGATCGATGCATGTTTCAACTGACATCAACCAACTAACTTGGATCACCAACCAGGTCTCCAGCTTCCGGCTTGCACCGCTGCATTTGCCTCACCCAAGCAACCAGCCTTGTCCTGGTTGCGCAAAGCGCAGGCCTTGTCACGAGAAGTGCAAGAGCGGCTGTATCCCAGGCCAGGCCTAGGGAAATTCCTGGGTTTTTTCCATGTCAGGTCACATCCTCAATCTCCCAGATCAATGAGTAGATGTGGTTCACGTTATGCATCAAGACGCATACTGCAATATACTGCAGCTGTAGGTTCTGTTCAATTTGTGGAGGTTTTCAGAGTGAAATGGTGCGCAGTTCCATGGGTTGCTAAGTTTGTCAAAGGATGTCAATAACCTTCCTGTCCTAGGTTTGCGAGACAAAAGCAGAGCTGTTCAGAAAATGTTGGATTCTGAGTGTTAATCCGTTAATCAACAATATAATATGCAGGAGACGGATAGTGGGAAGAAGTGGCACGTGAAGAGTAAGTGTTTGTTCATCAACACTCTTTGCAACGGGCTGCATGTGATCATTTATGCCTTTCAAAAAAATGGGGAGGGTCGCTTCTTTGTTCGTATGTTCACCCAGGAGGCTATAGGATTCACGCCTTGCATTCACTTCAACGTCCGGACCAGCTGGTACCGGTCGTCCGTTTTCTGCTTCACCGGATGGGGACCGTCAGGTCCCCGGCGGCCAGCAGACACACCTTGTTGCCCGATGTGCTGCTGGCATGGTTCCCGAAAAGCCGAGACATCGGGTGCCGACAGTTGATGACATTTGTGGTGAGGGGAAGTCATGACCAGGGGTCACATGTTGCACAGAATGAGACCACTACTAATGGGATAAGACTTTCCGTGTGGGTCTTCGAGTTTTACTTGCATAGAATTTGACGAGTTAAACTAGTCGGGAATTTGAGTGTTTGCTCATCCCTATATCAGCACCAGGTAAATTTCAGTCAGGATATGTTGGTCTCGCGCCTGATCGACCTGGCCATTCTTTGTGATGGCAATCCTCAAAATGCCTCAGCGGATGTGTTTGGATGCCCAGCAAAACCACGGCAGCAAGACAGACTGGACGAAAAACGCGAAAGGCCGGTGTCGGCCCCAGACGTGTCCGACCGCGGAACCTTGACCCCCCAAAAAAACATCGAGTGCGGCGATTCTTCGCTTCTACACTGCCTAGACCCAGAACCCACCGGAGGAATCCACGGCACCCCGTGTGTTTTTTCATATGTTTTCGACCCGACCGAGGACGGGAACGTCAGCGGAGCTGGGCGGACGACTGGGTGGGACTTGGTGCGAAGGACTCCATGACTTGGAGGCCTGGAAGAGGACGAAAAGAACTCGAGGCCACCAGTGATCTTGGCATATCTTACGCATCCCTCTTGCTCAATGGTTTATGAAACCCTGGGGGGACACATTGAGTAAGGGGGTAGCTCTTATCAAGATGCCTTCAAAGTCACATCTCGATGTTCGCATACAATAGATTCACCTTCAAGAGAGATAGTGCACACCGATTGATGAGTTTCCAAGGGATGTGGATGCTGCCCTAGTCGCATGATCAAAGTCGAACCATTGTCCCACGTGCCCTAATTCTGATATCGAATGAGATTGGTTTGACTCACAACCCGTGAACCTAGTGCTTTTCGCCCTGATTATGCCGGAGCCTCCTGCCACAGGAGCTGAATTTGGTGAATTTTTGGCAGAAACTGAAGGACAAGGCTTCCAACTCAGAGTTTTGACGAATCATGAGATATCCTGCTTGCCTAACATTGTGCCCACAGCATTGGTGCTCAGAATAGTAGTATTTATATGATACAAGTTACAGCAATGGGCAACCTGCTGCAAGTTGTATGTTGCAAGATGTAATCATGCTGCAAGCAGGCCAAGCGATTCAAGTCTTGGGATGACAAAGCAGACCAAACAATCCTTTGCTTGTTTCCACCTCCAAAGCTTATGGCTCTGGAGACCTCGAACTCGACAGACCTCAGATCTTCTTCAGTTCTTGTCGGGCGGACTGGCTCCGGCTGAGGAATCCTTTGGATTAGGCTCTGCACCAGGGCGTGTCTTTAAAGCTGTCCAGGAGAAGAGAGAGGGAGCGGCACATAGCAGCAGAGAGAGGGAAAAGGAATATAGATCGTATAATTACTATATGTAAATATAGTTGTAACATGTTTTAACTAAGTTTGTAACTATAAATTATATGTTAACATGTATATATTATATATGTGCAAGTAGCATGGCAATCAAATGTTTATGTATAGCATCCAGATGTATCACATGTATTTTGGCTCAAGGCACAAGGAAAAAGAAGCGCATACATGGTCGACCGCGCCGTTTACGAACTCACAGGCTATTAGCCGTAGGGTTCTGCTGGGAGTTGTGTCTATTTATTTGTCTTTCTGTGTTTGTCTATCGATCTACCTATTTATCATTATTTATATTGCGAGTGGATCTTAATCAGCGAAGTTTGAAGCTATCACTGACGATCCATAAGCGGCGTAGCGTCGGAACGGAAACCGCACCTTTTCTAGTCGCTTGATCCTTGAGCCAAAGTACATATGGTACATATATATGTACAAGTTGCACTGTACGTGTCGCTGCACTTCCATTCGCACCCCCCATGTGAACGGCAACAATATGTTCCGATCACACACGAAAATTTAGGGATGTAAGTGCTACAAAAGAAATTGTATGATTTGCCGCGAGACTCATATGAGGCTCATACTACGAAACATGCTGGACTAAAGCGGACTTTTACATATAAAGTGTGCAACTATGGCTCAGAACCTATGAAAATCGAATTGAACAAGTGAGACAGTCACGAGGCCTCGCTCAGTATCCACTCAAAAGAGCATCGCTTTGATGTAGATCCGAACTGGTGACTTCCACGTAGATGTCACATCGGCAACTGACTTCACACTTCTCAAAAGATGTAGGTTTTGGTTTGGATACACTTACAGAACGGCAAGTCGGAGAGACAGTCGGTGACTGTCTACCTTCCATTATGCTCATGGTATCAAATCGTCAATCCGATGATTTGCAATGATACACTTACAGCGTTTCAGATCAGATAGACATCCGGTGAATGACTTCCTCCCTGGTTTGCATGGTATCCTCATAGTCGTTCAAAGAAATCACCACTGGCGATAACCTCTCCATCCACGATGATCCCAGCTGCCCTGAGCATCCCGCCGATCATCTTCTCCCTTCTTGGACTTTCCCTTGGACTTGCTCTTTCCCTTCCCCTTTTCAGAAGGTTGAGGTACTTCGCGACGTTCTTGCGTTAGCGCCGGCCTCCAAGATGTTCCAGATTGGCCTCCTCCTTTGGAATGTCCTCGGGATGATGAAGAAGTTGTACCTTCTGCTGCATGTGCGTTGGCGGCAAGATCTTCCTGCAAAGCTTGCTCAAACACATCGGTAGCACTGGATGGTGATTTATCATGTGGTCTGGCTTTTGGAGCAGCCTTCGCCTTGCTCTCCTCTGCTGATGAGGGCCCGAAACTCTTAGGTGCTGTTGAAGGTTTTGGCTCCTCACTTGGTGCTGACGACGGCTTGGCCTCGGTTCTGGGTGTAGATGCTGGCTTTGCCTCAGCTCTTGACGAAGATGCTGCTTTCGCTTCAGACTTAGTCGTTGATGTTGACTTAGCTGTTGCCTTGGCTGCCTGCTTCTTCTTGCCCTGAATCTCCTTGGCCCTATCTCCAAAGCCTAGACGATCGGTAAGAGCTTGAACATGCTTCTGTTCTACCACGCTCATCCATCTCTCTGTATGTCCAATGTTGGGATTTCTGGCCATTGACTCTACGACATTCTGAGCGTGTGGGGGCAACCTGATCTCATGTTGATCAATGATCAGCAGAATAGACTTCTCCCATTTGCTCTTCATTCTCGAGTACATGATGTCCAGAGGATCGATCACCTTGTGGTTGGGTGATGTAACGTCGGTTCTAAAGTAAGAATATGTCCGACAACCATAAATCGCATGGATGCACTTCTGTACCAATTCAGTCATTGCGCTGGCTTTCTTCGCTTTCAACTCCTCAAGCTGGACGTCAGTCAAGTTGGTGGAGTATTCGAAGTTGCCATATTCCTTCTTGAAGGAGTACGGAGTATGACCAAATGATAGGATCACGAGTGCCACCTTGCAAATGAATTGCTCTCCTCTGAATCGGTGCCAGGCCTCCTCAATCGTAATCTTGTTTTCATTGGCAAAGATTCTCATCATGTCATCTGTTGGATCCAATGGTCTCCCATCGTCATCGATTTCAGTGAAATCCTCTGTACCGAACTTGCTTATCACATCCAGACGCTTCCTTTTCCAATTTGCTTTGAAGTCGGTAAGGCTGGTGCAATAGTAGCTCTTGTACATCAGGGAGATCATGTTCAGCACACATTTGACCACATACCTATCCATCAAACCCGATGCATTCATGGAGACGTCCTGACAGTAGGCTCTCTCTTGATGCGCATAGATTCGAGGTTCCGGTACTCGACAATAGATGGGGAGATCTTCGTTGTCTCTTCCTTCTTCGGGATTGAACTCGGTCGCTCCATGCTGTGCATAGTATCCCGGTTCATCACGATCTGTCGGTCGATTCGCCTCCGGATGTAAGTCGTCGGTGACGTCTTCATCCTCGGGCTCACCATCTTGACGTTTCTTCCCCTCATATTGTTGTGTGCTCCTCTGGATCTCGATGATCACGTTTCGTTCGTCTTCATCTTCTAGATCAGAATCACGATCGTAGTCGATCTCGTCCTCATTGAAAGATGGGGTCTCGACATTGTCACTCTTGAAGTTTTCTGCACCATCAGACGGTTTGGAAGGATCTAGATTGTCCATATCCTCGTCGTCGTCAGCTGCTTCAGTTTGAGCGATGTCTTCTTCCCAAGCCTTTCTGATCTCGTCCATAGTGGCCTGGTCCAAGATATCTTGATCATCATCTTCAGGCTCCTTCTCTTCCTTCTTTTCCTCTTCATCGTCGCTCACAAGATCAACGGGTGAATCGGAAATGACAGTGTTGCGAATACCACACGAGAGTAGCCTGCCTTGACAAGATAGACACACGGACAAAGATGAAGAAGTCAAATGCATACATGATGGACACAAAATATTGCCATCCACGTTGCGATACCCTTCACATGTTCTGGAGATGATTTCGTCCCAAGTTTCCTCACTGATGGAATCCTCGATCAGCTCTCCATTGTCGTCGAATTGTACTTCATCGATAAGGGACACGAGCTTTTGGACGTTGTCATCTGTCGCCGAGGCTGACTTCGTGACTTCGTCGGCTCTCTCGAGGATGGTATGCTTCTGAGCAACCCAAAGTCCATGACGCGCCGCTAGAACAACTTGCTCTCCAGTGCTTCCCAGCAGGAGTCTCCTCCATGCCTGAACGTAGTCGTCCCAATACCAAGCACCTCGTACACATCTCCATGGAACTTCTCTAAAAACAACAGTGTAGGAATTCTCCGAAATTCTTCCCCCAAGCTTCCTCAAAGTCATGATTGGAACATAAAGGCAAACGGGCATTCCCACTCTTGGCCATCTTGATCTCAGAATCTTTGATGATCGATCATCCCACGGCGCAAAGTGGTTGAAGAAAACACTACCTCTATATCCCTCCGTTCCACCAGGGACAATTCCTAGTTTCATGATTGACTCAATATTGGAAAGCGATGTCATGTGAAAGCTTCCTCCAAGCTGCATTGCCACATTCTCTGGAATGAGATGTGAAGTCCACACAGGATATATTGACACATCCTCTTCAAGAACAGTCTCTCTTCCAGAATTGTGAGAGGCAACAGCTCGAATTGCACAAGGAACGATCCAACGTTCATGCTTCAGAAATGACGGTGCATCTGTGCTGTAATACATGAGGTTTGCCCAGTATTGCCTTTCCTCTTCGAGTGAGACATCCTCCCTTGAGATACGAATGGCGGCAATCTGATAGCGTACTCTGTTCTGCAACTTCTTTGCATGCCACATCGCCTTGCATAAATACTGGTATCGCTCTGTCTTGACATCTTGACGATGCCGATCATTTGAGATAGTACTGATATCGACACCATCGTTGAAGACATGGTCATATTCCAGGATCTCATCGATGTTCACCCATCCACCCTCATTGCACTTCGGGGACACATGAGGTTTTCGACCGCGGTGCGATTGAATCCCATTATGCTTTCCCACTCCATGCCTGAGTAGTCTATTGAGTCTATGGCTAACCTCGTTGACCCGCTGACTCTCCTCGCTGAACTTGTCGATGCGAGTTGCTGGGTTCATCTTTGGTGGATCCGTGAAAGTTGCATCTCTCTTCGGTCCATTCCAGTACTCCACATAGAATGTAACTCCATACTGTGGAATTATCTCGATGCTTCCTCTATCGCAAGTCACCTCAATCTGCCGATATCCAACCTTTTGAACTTGTTGTGGGTCAGGAGCAAGGTCCTTCACTTTGGGCATCTTTATTCCGAGTGCTGCAGCCTCCTGAATAAGTGCATCAAGTTCCCACTTTCCATTAGGACCTGATCTATCAACCCTGTGATTTGCGACCCTGTACTCTCCTCCTTCTTTGTCATCGGCAATGTCAAAGAGGTCGACGGGCTCTTTGAATCTGGTGACGAAACTGGCGTTCCCAAAGGCCTTCTTGGTTGCCTCGACCGCTTTCGCGTATTCCTCTTTTGCAGAGTCTGACGAGTGTGGTCTACCTTTGGCTCTCGGAGAGTGAGGTGGTACCTTACCTCCTAGTTCCGGTTCTTCTTCGGGAAGTTCAATATCTTCATCATCCACATCCATGTAGTCCTCGTCTTCGACGTCTTTGGATGACTTTGCTTTCCTCTTTCGGCTTTCAACATCACGTCGGATGATTGCCTTGTCGTCCTCGGTGAAGCACTTGCGCATAGTGTCCTCCATGTGAGAGAATGAGTTCATCAACTCGTCCTTCTTCTCAGTGTTGGGACAAATAGCCAGGTGATGTTGGTTTGAACCACAACAATAGCACACCTTTTGGCTCACTGCGCGTGCTCTGACCCTTCTGAGGTTGTCATAGGCGGTTTTCCAGTTGGAAGCGGTTGCTGTACCT